CAGGAAATGAGACTAAACAGAATGGTGGGTTTTGCAGTCAGTAGACCTGGCATTAAATCCTGGCTCTGCCTCTTGTTAATGTGAATAAATTACATAAACTCTCAGTTAGACATGTACATGCCATGTACAAAGCCATGATGGGGATCAGGTCTGTCCACAGAGAACTTAGCACCATGTCTACACATGAGTGTTCTCTTATTTTATAAAATAATTTGCAAATGTGGACCTCCTTGTGTGCCTTCCTATGAAAACTTGCTCTTCCTAGAATGTATCCAGGAGGTGCTGCTGTATTTACTTCAAAGCTGTGCTTTTCCTAAAAAATCTAAACTTGGCAATCTCTTGGGATGAGGTGTGACTGGCGCCCTCCCCTGCCCGTGGAAGGAGCCCAGGCTGACAGTGACCCGCAGTGGCCCACGGCCCCACCTCCCTCATAGCCCTGCCAGGGAGCGTGGCGCCCATCTGAAGCCTCACAGGAAGCTGAAGGGAGAAATTTTCTGAGGTTTCTCTTCTTACTGGGAGGCCTTGAGCAACCATTTTAACTCTCTTTGTTAAGTTTTTCCTCACTTAAGAAAATATTACATTTATGCCAGGGAAATCTTTGAAAATAAGAAACAATACAAACATACATAACCCCACCAGAGAGAGAAACCATCATTAATATTGCCTTCCAGTCTTTTTCTTGGCACATACATATTTGTCTTTATACGTAACGTGGATATTTTACAAAGTTAGGATCATATTCTATGCACTGCTTGGTGATCTGATTTATTCAATTTATATTTTGAAAATTTGGTATTAAACAATCTTTGAAAACATAACTTCCAGTAGCATTCTATCCCTTGACTTCTGCCTCAGTTTTCTCACTTACAAACCAGGTCTCACCGCTCCTTCCCCAGAGGGCCGTGTGGGGCCCCCGCCACCCTCCCATCTGAGCCCCGCCCAGCATCCAGAGGAGACAATGCCTGCACGGTCACTGGGCTGGCCATGAGCCCGGAATCCCTGGACCTGGCACCTCACCTCTGCGTCTCAGGTCACCACCCATACAAAGGTCATGGGTGGAACCCATGGGGTAACTTCTGGGAATGCTCTTGCACAGCACAGGGTAATGCCACCCCACGGTCCCCAACCCACCGGCCTCCTGGCCAGTCCACTGGTCCATCTCCTCAGGGCAACCAGGGAAGAAGAGTAAGTGATAAAGTCCCCCCCACAACCTCTCCCTTTGTTTCACAGTGTTGTAAGATCAGTCCTCTTCCTGGGGCCTCAGGCCAGCCTTCATGTCCCTGCATGGCACACTCACACTGCCCATGCTGAGTACTTTACATATGCCCTCCTTCTCCCTTGGATGTCACATCAGCCCTGAACAGCTGCTGTTCTCTTGGCCTCACTGCTGCCCGTCCTGACAGTTGTGACTGACCACCGGTGAGGAGGGGGATCTAGGTTAAGGAGCAGGGGTCTCTGCTGGGAACACTGCAGGCGGCAGGAGAGCAGGTAGCAGCTCTGGAGGAGGTTTCTAGGAACTGATGGTTTCTGGTCCTGTGACGTGGTGGCGTGGCTGGCTAAAAAATGGTGCAGAGTGAGAGGCCAGCCTAGTACAGGCTATGAACTGTAGCACCAAACTTCAATTTCCAAGTGGAACTGGGGTGAGGGGAGGACGTAGGAACCACCTCTGGCTTGTTTCCTGTGTCCCAAGCACAGTGCCTGGCAAAAGAAGGGCCCTGGGCATTCTATAGCAATATGATTCTGACTACTGGTCGAATGAACGAACGAAAAGTAAATGGGTCACTGAGACTGAATACAGGTGCCCATTAGACACGACCAGCAGGTGTGAAGGCAAGAACACAGTCTGGCTAGTCCGACTCGCCTGCCTGGTAGCAAGAGCGAGGGAAAATACAGGCATTTCTGCCACCTGTTCTGACCCGTTGCCGTGCAGTGGTCTGACAAGGGTGTGCCCTCAGGGACAGCCTGCAGGGGAAGGGAAGCAGCAAGATAGGTGCTCCAGTCTGTCCTAGAGGGATGGCCCAGTCATAGGGGCCTGGCTGGCAGGCAGCAGTACAAGAACCAGGGTTTAATTTATCAGAAGAA